TAGAAATATATGCATAAAATATTTATATAAAATATGTTTACCAAAGTGTTAACATTACAAAACATTATAATTTAAAAAAATATTTTTAAAACGTTAAAAATAATGGAATAAATTCTCTTTTTTAATTAAAAGAACGTTTAATTAAAAAACGTTTTCTAACGTTTGAAAAAATGTTTTGTTTTCTAATATTTAATAAACGTTTACTTAGAAAAATATTTTTTAAATATTTAAATAAATGTTTATTAAATATTAAAAAAACAAAACATCCTTCCAAACGTTAAAGAAACGTTTTTTTTTAATGAAAAAAGAGAACTTACCCCATTATTTTTAACGTTTCCAAAATTTTTTAAAATGTTTTATGAATATTGTTTGATATAATGAATATTCAAGTATTGACCAATACTAACTTGCAATACTCAGTCTTCATCAATACTTAACTACATCAATATTTAAGTATTGATCAAAACTAACTCTCAATACTTAGTATTCACCAATATTTAACTCACTCAATACTTCAGTATTGACCAGTACTAACTCTGAATACTCAGTATTACAACTTCAATACGTAGTATTGAGTTTTAATAGTTTTTTTCCGTAAGGGAACAGTAGTGCCCTTACAAAAATATTTCACCGGTTTTAACCCTCGAAAATGTTTAATTTGAGTAGTAAAAGCGTGCATTCAACACAGCGAGTATAACCTCGTTTATATATCGGAAAGGGGCACTTTTACTAAAAATGAGTAGTAATTACGGATTGCTAAGGAATAGTAAAAACGTATCATTAAGTGTATTTTTTGGTGGTAAATGAGTGCAGCGTAACGGAAATTTGAGATGTGCAAACGTGCATTTAGCTACAAGTACAAACCCACACAGCACCAACATATTTCAAAAAGCTTTCGAAAAGCTTTCATTATGAAATATGAAACATTTCAAAGAAATATTTTAGACAAGTTTTAGATATCTTTCAGATACATAAAATATCCGCTTTGATATACTATCTAAAATGTATCTGAAATGTTTTAAAAACATATGGGAAATATTTCAGATATTTTTTTCTATATACAGAAACTATTCGTATTTTTATATTTAGAAACTATTCGTAAACGTCACAGGTGTTTACAGATTTTACTGGAAATTTTACATTACTTGATTTCAATGTTACATCACATTTAAAAATTCTCACTGGCACTAATGGGACTCGAATTTGGATCCTGGAGGCATCTTTGGATTATGAGTCCGTTGCTTTAGACACTACACCACGATCTTCGATTGATGTAAACGTCTTACGTTTTGTCTATATGTGTTGTAATTAACGCAGTAATATAATTTTTTGATAATGATTTAATAAAATCATTTCATTTCAATAAAAATAATATTTTTTGTAATTTTATGTGTTAATTTAATCCTAATTAGCTAATGAAGTGAGCTCTACAAAATTCCGCACATTTTATTTCGTTATCTTTAAATTTTTATTGTAAACATTTTTTATTAACTGTTATTAAATATATAAAGTCTTAAAATAAACTTTGAGTAATTATAAAACAGTACAATTACAAAAAAAAAAAAAATTCACCTAACCATATAAAATTTAATTAAATTAATTAAATTTATATATAAATATATAAATCAACGTTTATTATAAACGATTTCTGAAATATTTAAGTGAAAAAGATTTTGATGAAACGTTTCACAAATATTTCTGAATTATTTCAATGTTATATTTTAATATAATTTCCAAGTTATCTTTCGGAAAGCATTTTGAAAGATGTGTGGGAAATACGTTTTTAATATTCACAAACATTCATATTGCACATTTTTAAATAGTACGCGAATAAAAATTATAATTATTAATTCTTAGAGAGCTGGCAATATCATTATAGTGGGTAGGCTATATAAGAATTAATTATTATATGTGATGTGAATATATAAAAAGTTTATTATATTTTCTTAAATGTTAGAAATGTAATATAATATAAGATAATATAAGATAAAGCCAGTCAAAAGTAAAAACATGTTGCGTCTCCAAAAAATTGCACAATTTGACGCATCTTAAGAAGTGGACTAAATTTTTTTTGTAAATTTTATGTTAACCATCATAAAATGTAGACTATTTCCTGCAA